CATTAAGAGTCTAAAATTAGAAAATGGTAAAATCTTTTACATAGAAAGCTGAAAACACAACACAAAACATAAATCTCTCAAGACATGGTGTGTTTTGGTGAGGACATTGTGTTTTGGTGAGGACATTGTTTGGCTATGTCTAACAAAAATCTATGATTTAACAAAACCCAAAACACCTCACCTAAAAATCAACAATGACTATATCAATACTAACGAAAGACAACAAATCCTGAATCAATCAACACTTTATGAAGCACACACATTCTTCTTTCCTTCTTTTCCTTATTCTTTTTTACCTTTGGCTTTGGAGATTGAGTTTCTCAAGAACTTTCCTCCCAAACTTGTTGCAACTCATCAATGGAATGTTATTTTGTATACAACGCCACATTACGTGGCGTAGATCGTCCTGCAAACACCAAACAAGATTCTCATGATCTCTCATAAATATCTTGGTAGACCACAAATCATTCAAGAATTTCCATTACCTTAGACACAAACCATGCGGTCTGAATGACATAGTTTCCAAATGGGTCTAGAAGAAGAGTATCAATCTCTCTGAGCAAGTCGTGTACAATCAATCCCGAGTCGATATAGTTTATTTTCAAGAGCTTTTGTACAGCATGACTTCCATATTTGTTGCGGGAGAGGTATCCGTAGTGCCCTACTAGTTGTCTCACGAGCTCAGCTGTTACATTGTGATCTTCCAACTCCACTACATACTGCACCACATAGTTTCTGATGGAGAACATACTTGTTAGTAAATGAGAACACGATTGTAAGGCTGTATATCAATTATCAATCATCTCATCCTTACCCGTAGCAGTCAACGCAGAGTTTCAACGCATGAGCGATTATCTCGGCAATCAAACGGTGCTTAAGCTGATCAAAGTTGATGCCAAGACAGTGCTGAAGCATGCAGCAGCCATGTTGATCAGTTGCTATTTGAGAACAGTGTCCAACAATAACGTCTTGAAGATTCTGTAAAAGCATAACAGACACAAGAAAAAGTGTCATCACAAGTTTTTGCTGAAGAATATTAGCAGAGAAGATCAAATATGTTTGCAAAATTATTCAGGGCCTATCATGGATCATTTAACTTGTACCACAAGCAAGATAATTACCGATGTTCGAATTGCTACAAACACACTATACTGATTCTCGAAAATGTATCAGTCATGAGTTCTATAGCAAATCTTGAATCAAAGAATACAGATATTGCAAACTGAAACAATGAATTGATTCATCAACTATATGGTACAGGCATGCAAAGATTCAGCAGATAGTAGATTTCAAGTGTTTTAAGCAGAAGGTTCCAAGTAATTTCTAAACAAGCTAACTTTTGAGATATCCCCACAACAAAGAACCAATCATCTTAACATAAGAAGCAGAGTGTGGATGAGATGCTCTTTTACCCTAGTTTGCGAGGGAGTAAACTGGTTTAAGCATTGCAGAACCACATGTTTACCATTGTTGCTCCTGGTCAATGTAAGTGCTACCCTGCTTATAGGTTCCACGATGCGCAGAATTTGATCCTCAGATTGGAGACAGTTCAACAGCGTTTGGATTGTACGAGTCCTGATATCTCCCAAAGAAAAAGACAATTACCAAACAAAAAATAGAATACTCGTTGTCTTTATCCTTAATTCCAAACCAAAACAAACCAAAACAGTCAATAAGGTAAAGAATAAAACCTAGCCTAATGCTTATTCTCTGACTATTTTACAAAATCAAGTTCATGATGGAATCAAAGAATGGATAACCATAATAATATCACAAACGGAATGAAAGTGGAACAAGAATCAGAAGTGTTTACCCGAGCGGATCGATGCAAATTCTAACAAACTGAAAGTGGTGGTGAGTGATGACATCAAGAATCCGAGTGATCTGTTTAGAGCTGCATTTCTCAATAAGCATCTGGATGACATGTTGACCAAAAGGATCAACCATCAAGTCACAGATATGAAAGATGACATCTTTGAAAATCTTATCAATCGTCTCCCTCGAACCCTCATGGATCATCTTCTGCAGTTGTAGACAGGACACTCGGTCTTTAGCAAGCGAAACCACCGAGCCCCTTCCATTCTCCAAAGCCGGAGGCAGAGCATGGTTCTGACCGCTCATCCAAGGATTGTTGATTCCTGCAACAGCCCCATAGCCCCGAGGACTCTGATCTGCGAATCGATTCCTTGAGAAATAAGGAACGTCTCGCAGATTCCCGTTGAAAACACCATTGTTAAGCATCTGATTACTACTAGTTTGACCCACATTAGGATCATACCCAAAAGATCCATTAGCATAACCATTCTGGAATGGCAATCTCTGCAACTGGTGATGTTGAGATTCAGCAATTTCACGGTGAGCATTGGGAGGAAACAAGTAG